AAGCTACAGTCCGTCGATTTTCCTCTTTGTCGCCATCTCTGTTTGAAATCTGAATTGCAGTTATTCTTGTGGAAATATCATTAGGAAACATGGATTAGCTTTCATTGTTATGCTGATGATACTCAGCTGTATATTTCTTCAAAATCTAACAAACTTACCAATTCACAAAATTAACGGAATGCATAGCTGATATAAAAAAATTGGATGACTAGTAATTTCCTACAACTAAATTCTGAAAAAACAGAGATTCTAATTATTGGAACAAAAAACTTCAACCCTTGAATGCTGTCTAACACTTTATGGCTGCTCTGTTGAGTCTTAGCCGTCGGTTAGAAACCTGGGGGTGCTCTTTAATACCAATCTCTCATTTGAAAATCACGTTTCGAGATCTATAAAATCGCATTTTTCCATCTTAAAAATATGTCTAAATTACGGCATATGCTCTCATTGACAAATGCGGAACAATTAGTTCATGCGATCATGACATCAAGGCTAGATTATTGTAATGCTCTACTGGGTGGTTGCCCTGCACACTTAAAGGGTTAGTGTGGTGAGCAGGACGGCCGAGGGACGTGAGAGAAAGTCGCGAGGCTGGTGGTGCGATTGCTAATGAGCAGCACCTGTGAAGCACACCGGTCTCGCATCTCTCACGAAGGAGCGGAGCCATAAAGGGGGAGCGACGCAGTGGATGATCGAGAGAGGAACAGGCCTGCTTTTATTTGTATTTTATATTTTATTTGGTAAGCCAGCAGTCGTCCGTGAGGGGCTGCTGGCCGGTATTTATGTTTTATTTTGGGTAGCCAGCAGTCGTCCGCGAGGGGCTGCTGGCAGGTAATTGGTTTGTTTATTTTATTTAAATAAAGTTTTATTTTATTATTATTATCCGGTTCTTGCCTCCTTCTTCCCTGAACCTTGTTACAGTTAGTTCACCCCAAAATGGGTGACGACTTTATTTCAACTATTCGTTTATTTCTCCCTCTGCGCGAGTCAGGTTACTAGTTTAATAGAGTAAGCTTCTGTTATTGTACGTCACACGCATCACACACACATGACCAGCGTCGGCCAATAGTGAGCCTACGTGTGACGTAGCTTTACGCAATCACACTACGTTAACTGACTACAGGCCCATGGAGAAGGAAGTGAATAGTTGAAATAAAGTTGTTATTTTTGTTTGTTTTTGCACACAAAAAGTATTCTCGTCGTTTGATAAAGTTAAAATTGAGCCACTGTAGTCACTTGGACTATTTTAACGATGTCTTTAATGACTTTTCGATGCCAGCAAGAGTCATTCCCTCAGGAAGCCTATGGACTAGTATACTATGCAGGAGCGATCTCAATATCTTAAATATCTTAATTTGTGTTCCGAAGATGAACGAAGGTCTTACGGGGTTGGAACAACATGAGGTTGAGTAAATACTGACAGAATTTTCATTTTTGGGTGAACTATCCCTTTAATAAACAAACTTCAGCTGGTTCAAAACGCAGCAGCTCGAGTTCTTACAAGAACCAGGAAGTATGACCATATTAGCCCGGTTCTGTCAACACTGCATTGGCTGCCTATTAAACATCGTATAAATAATTTTAAAAAAAATTGCCGATTACTTACAAAGCACTAAAGGGTTTAGCTCCCCAGTACTTGAGCGAGCTCTTAACGCATTATATTCCTTCACGTCTATTGCAATCTCGAAATTCCGGCCAGTTGATAATACCTAGAATATAAAAATCATCTATGCTAATATTAGTCTCTCTGTTTATCACGAGGGACCCTCTATGGTGGACCTGCGCCTGGACCCATCCCTACTCATCCTTAAGTGCCGGCGACATCGGCACTGATCCTCAACAACTCGTCTCCATACCGGCGTGATTACTTCGTCTTCCAAACAGATGGAAATGGACAAATACTCTTAATGTTTCAATCCAATTTGACTTGTAATGCTGCCCGAATCACGCACTGTTTCTTCGTTGGCCAGGGGAGAACTGGCCCCCGACTGAGGCTGGTTTCTCACAAGGTTTTTTTCTCCATTCTGTCTCCTGATGGAGGTTTGGTTCCTTGCCACTGTTGCCTTGGCTTTTGGCTTGCTTAGTTAGGGACATTTAATGTTCAACAATATTACTGATCTGTGTTGCATTATTTTCAGGTTATCACTGTGAAGCTGCTTTGATACAATCTGTATTGTAAAAAGCGCTATATAAATAAAGGTGACTTGACACTTTACGTGGGTTGTACCTCGGCACGGCACAGCGCAGATGAACACAATGTTTAAGGAGAGTGTGCAGCTGTCAGTCACACGCCGGTGTGGATACTGTCATTCGGAATCACAGATTCTACTTTTTGGAAGTATGATCAACATAAGAATCTTCATCCTAAAATGTAATCTGAAAAAGTAATTAACATCCACGTTTGTTCCGACCAACTGGGGAAAAAAGCATTGCAGTAAATCGCGCTGATTAAATCTAACGTCAAACCGTGAAAATTATACTTTGTTCTCAAATTGTTAATGGTAACAACATCAGCATTGTGTGACTACATTTAATGCCCTTCCGATATTTATCCTTTTTTTCTCATGGGCCCGGTTGCAGTCTTTTTTTTTTTTTTTGCCAGTCCGAAGTCTAACGTCTTTTGCATTTTACAGAGGGTGAATCTGTTGTCACTGGTGATTGTCATTTGAACCTTTCTGGATCCGCCATCAAATTGATAAGTTTAATTATATCAAGTGCTGTGAGAAAAAGCTATAAATCTCCACCTCATATATCCTCACACTCCTCAGATCCACAGACTCTTCTTTTTGTGTACAGATGTGACGTAATGACGCAAAGACATGCTCGGATTTCCAGTAAAAATCCACCAGTACCACTGGAATTAAAACATTATTAAAAGCTTACCACTTTGAATCGAGCTAGGCAAGCAGATAGCGTTGAATACTGGCTGGTTTTGTACTTTCTCAAAAAAAAAAAAAAAAAAAAAAATTGACCATTTTTAACCCAAAAAAGTTACAGACTGGAGCTTTAATATATAAACAACCTTGGTGAGCATAAGATACTTCTTACATTAAAACTATTTTTTTTTTAAATCTTACTGACCCCAAAATGTTAGTGCAAATAATAGTGTACTTTTATTATTCAATACGATATTATAATTTTAATTACATATTTTAAAGTCAAATCAATTTGTACTTGTATTAATTTATCATTATCATAAATGCAAGAATTGATATATAGCTGGCCTAAATTATGATAAATGTTACATTGAAGGGATAAAATAGTTTTCAGGCAGATTTGTTGCAGATATATAAAATTAGAGGAGTCTGACTGATAAAAATAAAAACTGGAAAGAGGGCAGAGTTGGCAGGAGAAGTTCTTAAGCGTACAGATTCTTAATTTAAAAAAATCCCCCTCGGGCTCTCTCATCTCATCTGGAACGAACGGTGTGCCCCGTCTTACCATGTCCTCATCTGTGTCCTTGACTTTAAACATGCTCCAGGCCTTCCCGTCTTCACTGTACGCCACTTTATATGATTTCACATACTCGGGGCTTCCGATTCGCTTGGCACCCTGTGTTATCAATCCGGTCACTCTCATCCTGCGCTGTAGATTTATCTGTGAGGGGACAGCACAAAATCCATGGCCTCAGCTTACAAGATGAACGAGTGAAGCCTCGTGGGCTGTGGGGTAATAATTTGTCCCTATCAGAAATTGCTGTGGTATAGAAAATAATGGTTGTGTATCTGGAGAGGGGCTGTGTGGAAGTAAGCTATGAAAGTTTTCACTGTAAAAAGCAAATAAATCAGATTTAAATTGTAAATAGAGTCCTCCAGTCGGGTTCTGGACGTAAAAAACGCCATTAATTTTTTTCCACAGCGAAATGTTTTTTATACGTATAAACAGGGCCTGAAATTAATACTCGCCAAGCAAGTAGAAATCAGCGTCGGTGAGTATATTAAACCGTGTCAATCACCAGTTACCCGGTAACATGCTTATGAATTGTAACAATGCAATGTTGTGAGAATATAACGTGAACAAACTGCTGTATCATTGCGAATGTTTAAGCCTTGCCAATTTAAAAATTCGAGCACAAGAATGCGAAAAAGGGAACTCAATTCGTTACTCGCTCACTGTCTGAAGTTTTCTGTCCACAAACATTCGAAGCGTGCTGCCAGAAAGCCGCGTTTCAGACAGAATACTGAATTGAGCTCTCTTTCGCGTCTTCTTGCACTTGAAAGGACAAATTCACATGAGGTATCCTAGTAAACATAGTTGTTATGTCTTAAGTGGACGTAAATAGTTGAGAAAGAAAACGTGTACAGTATCAGTATATCTGTGGATCCGTGCAGGTCTTTGTGACATCAGCCTAATAGTCCTGCTGCTATCAGTGTCATTCATTTTGCCTGTCCCTTAAACACACTGTAAAAAAATGTGGTCTATGCAGACAACCCAGGCTCCACAAATGGCAACAAAAACAAACTGCGGCAACCCGTTCCACAAAACATAACAAACTGTTCCAGCCAATAACTGACAAGAAGGCCCTGTGGGTGGGGTTTAGGGGGCTAGTGCACGGATGAGGAGGAGGGAGGGTCTATCTAGCCTCCAATTTTGAAAATAGTTTAAAAATCAATAAGAAGTCACGTCACTCGACATTGCTTAGCCTTAGAGCACCTTTAAACGTACAGTATGCGATTTTTGGCCACCAGGGGTCACACATTTAAAATAATAACAAAAGACGTACTTTGATGACGTCGGGAAAGAGCGTGGGCTCACGGTAGTTGTTGTCGCTGTCAATGGCAACCAGCTCAGCTCATGGCATGACATCATCGTTTCACAAAATATAGACGAATCCGGCGAAACTACCGGATGTAAGCGGGCGCCATTACTGAGCTGTTGGTGGGTAGCGATGCGCCATTGCCTCCTATTGTTTTAGTTGCAACTTGCGTCCACTGGAATAAACAGCCCGCGATTTACGACTGTCACTAACGTTACAACATTACCCCTTGTATAATGTCGAGTGGGTAAACAGTTTCCGTTATAAATTGTTTAAATTGTGGCAGTAAAATTTCAATTTTGAAGAGAAAACATTGTGAATACCCCGGGTCGACAGCCCCTGTCTGGTGCCGTACGGTTTACACAGATTTCCTGGGCGAGTACAAGACGCGGACATTCGCGTATAATAACAATTATTTAATGACATAAGTAAAAAAATATAATAAATATGTGATATAGTGATCAGCAAAATCTCCTCTCTTGCTGTTTTTTCTATTCAATTAACATGCTATGGTCATTAAATGGCTTTCCTGAGCTAAATGTAACGTTATGTGACATTTTTCTCCTGCTGTTATATTGACCTCTTTCCATGGTTTAAAAACACTAATTGGTCGATATTATGTATACTTTCTAGCTGTAACGTTACCTTACCCTTGCCTGTTGCAATGTGAAAATGAGATAAATAATGGACACAAATGAAAAACATGAATTTGTTTATTTGATTACATTCATTTATTTATTTATTGTTGCCAAATGGACAGATCTTTTTATAGTTTCCTCGTTAGCAAACGTTAGCCTAGCTAGCTTGCCAAGCTATTTTCATAAATAACATTAATCTGTAAGATCGTTTGTACCTTCATCTGTGACTGGAGGCCACTGCAGTCACAGATCAAACCAACATGTCATTCTGCCTGGCTGTAGCTGTCATCGAGGGTGCGTTCGCGTTATCACCGAGGTTTGTTTACATACCGGTGCATATGTCTATATGCCTGTGTAACAGCTCAGTAATGGCGTCGCCACAAGATGGCAGCCTACACAGAACGCTCGTCGGATTCGTCTATACGGATACGGCATCTCTCTGTAGATTTAGCTTGTCGAGAAGCTTTAAATGTTTATCTGTGTCATGCTTTTTCTCCTGTCCCAAATTCTTCTCGGGTCATATTTTTCACCCGTACGTTTGAGCTTTACTGAGCTGGCTGTAGCAGCAGAACGTGCAGGCAAAGCGTAATCGTGGTCCATAACTAATACAGACGAATATAAATATTTATATTACGCTCCTTCAATGAATGACCTATTTAGAACATGTTTCATATATAGGGCGCACCGGATTATAAAGCACATAAGATACTGAAGTCAAACGTTTGACTGGGTTTGCATTATGCATCCACTATGTGCTAAAGGCTAAAGGGAATAGTGAGCGCAGCGCGCGGCGCCAGATGTGAGGCGTTTATTTAGTAAGCATGAGCGCGCTGAAGTGGGCACGTACATTCGCAGCCTGACTCATATGAGTATTCAATGTGCGCGGCTCGCTAACAGCAACAGTTGGCTGTTTTGAATGAGACGACACGGTTACTGTGAACGGGGAGCGCTTTATGCGCGAGCAGCACCGGGGACAGTGTGTCTGTTAAGAGTGAGCGCTCGTGAGCGGGCACGTGATTTACACACATAAAAATACGCACTACTTTTTTTCTTCGTCATTTTCTTTGCTTTATTGGCGGTAGTCCAGTGTTTCCCTTTGTGTTTGGCGGTTTCGCCGGGTTCCGCGGGAAGTTAGAGAAAATAGAGGAGTCAAAGGTTATATAACGCCATAGACGGGCGACGAAACGGAAATAAAGAAACGTCCCGTGTCTTCGAATTAAACTATAAATTTCTCCGTATTTGAAAGTTGGTGCAAAACTGTCGGGATAATGTAAGTACACATCTAATAGAAATATATAACATAGATAGAGTTATTTTTGCTATTTTTAAAGCAGAAAAAATACATATTGTGGCTTTAATGGAAATCAATAACAAAAGACAAAGAGAAAATCACTTACTGCTCTTGTCTGAATAACTTTTTTAACTTTAATAAAGATTAGACTATGTTTAAAAGACTACGCAGCCATTTTACATTTTTACAACAGCCATGTTATTTTATATTTGTTTACTTTATTAAATTTCAGAATCTGAAAATCGTGAATTTTGCAAAAACACTTTCATGGTCTGTAAAAAATATTTATAGCTGCTGGTAAATTTTCTGGTAAATAAATTAAAGAGCCCCTATCATAGCATTTGAAATGTTCCTATTTTTGTTTTAGGAGTTCCAAAAAACAGTTTAACATGCATGCAAGGATAAAAAACACTTTATTTGTCTCATAATATGCATTTATTTTTAACTGATTTGCTCACCGACTCCCAAATGATTCGTACAACGACTCTTTGCGTGACGCTAATCAGCGGTGATTGGTCTGATGACAGACCTGGTCTGTTATTGCAACGCATAAACATATTGATAAAGCACTGCAGTACTACAAGACGCTCTATTCTTTATGACAATTCCAATAACAGCGACACACATTTCACATATTTAAAAAAAATGACATTGCAGACACATACTGCCTCGTGTCCCGACGCAACAAAACCGTTCAAAATCCATAAAAGCAACAATTATTAATAATACTTTCAGGTTGTGATTCGAAGGAGGAAGCTGATCCATATACACTGGGTGAGTAAGTTACTGAGCCCTCCTTCAGGAACAACCGCTTGCAAATCCACATTTGAATTCATTTATGTTTTTGAACTAACGTTATTCGTCAATAAAATGATGAGAACACAATCGGGCTATACTGTTGTGGTATCGTTGCAAATATGAACTCTAACCACCGATTCTTCACATGCTCGTCCCTGGTAAATGAAAACAAAGTGGCTGAACTATCTTTGCATTGTAGAAAACAGCGTCTTCTCGACATGATGCTATGATGAAGTATTTGAACGTGTAGACTTCAAGTTTACACTTCCGTCTGCGTGCGCAGTAACTGGGCGCGGCCAATGACCTCTCTACGTCACGATGTAACAGCTAATGACTCGGTTCAAAAACAATTCATTTCATAGACTCAGAGTCGACTCTCACTTTTGAAAGACAATAACTTTATATACGGTGCACTTTCAGATATAAATCTTTGCAGGATGTTTTCATTCCCTTAGAGCTATATTCCACACCATATGAACAGTCATTTTCAAAAATCCATGATAGGGTCACTTTAAGTCACCGGCCATTGGCAGGTGTGGAAAGAAGTTCGTTTTAGGCCCTGCTTGTAAACCTTACAAGACCTGCACCTGTTGGGAGTTGTGAGGTTGTTAAATATTAATTAGTGGTGAAAAACTACATTACCCATGATGCAGTACAGAAAATTCCACTCATCAGAGAGTGGTGGTGAGCAAATCACCCCAAAAGAAGTACTCAGTCCCAATGAAGCACCACGACTGACGTAATCTAGTCGGCGTATTTTGCAACAAATTTAAAATATATTGTTTCTATAGATATTATTATCAACTTTCAGTGAATAGTTTTTTTTCACCATAGTCTTTAATTCAATTATGTAATTTCCAATGCTTCATGGGATTGTAGTTCTTTCCATCAGGAAAGTCATTAAGTCTGACTAAATGGAAAAAAAATGCATCCAGAACCAACACCGCTGAAACTTCCCGCTGGCGGGAACTAATGAACTCTGATAGTGGCTGTTAATTACTAAAAAATTGGTAACAGTTTACAATAAGATTTCATTAGTTAACTACATTAGTTAATGAATAATGAACCACTTCTACAGCATTTATTAATCTTTGTTAATGTTATTTCAAAATGTACTACATTATTAAAATCAAAAGTTGTTAACATTAGTTAATGCACCGTGAACTAACATGAACGAACAATAAACAGCTGGATTTTTATTAACTAAAGTTAACAAAGAGTTTCAAATACAGAAATAAATGTTAAAAGTTCATGTTAGTTAATACATTAAAAAATGAGACCTTAAAAGAAGTGTTACCAAAAAATTCATACAAATTAAATGTATTTTATTTATTATCAATGTGTACATTTTCATTTTAAACATTTGTTTTTGCTTTAGTACAAAGTAAAGCCCAATTGTGTCATGTTGAAAACAAAGTCTTCACACCACACATTTTTATTTGGGGTCCTTGCCATCTAGTCATTTGAAAACCCCATTATAGGTTGGATCACCACTTGATGTACAATATAAAATGTGGGTCTTGATGCAGAAACCAACTCTGATGCAGCAATGAGAACATATTAGGACTAGACAAACAGGTAATGCCGTTTTCCAGCAGCAAATTGAGGTCTTATTTAAAAGCATATTGGCATCAAAGACTTCTTTAATCTTGAGAGCACAAAAATGGAGTCAGGCTGATGCAAGACGCCAAACAGAACAAGGCCGGGACGCTGGTGTTGTGTGGGCATAGCTGGTGGAAGAGTGTGGTTATCACTTAAGTCATTACTGTGGCTGTGAATGCACAGAATGTTCTTTCTGTGTGTCTCTTAATGAAATCGTGACTTTAAAAGACTTTAAAATCTCTGATGCAATTTGCCTCCAAGTATAAACTAATTACTGTGGGGTGTTTATGATTTTCTTTGAAAGCAGTAACTGTGCTGGATGATTGGTTTACAGCTTTGAAGTTATGTTAAGTAAGTTGTTAAAGGGATAGTTCACCCAAAAATGAAAATTCTGTCAGTATTTACAGCCCCTCATGTTGTTCCAACCCTGTAAGACATTTGTTCATCTTCGGAACACGAATTAAGATATTTTTGATGAAATCTGAGAGCTGGATCACTCCTCCATACTAGTCCATAGGCTTCTTGAGGGTTTGAAACTTGCCGGCCTCGGAAAGTTATTAAAGACATGGTTAAAATAGTCCAAGTGACTACAGTGGCTCAATCTTAACTTTATCAAGCGACAAGAACACTTTTTGTGCGCGAAAACAAACATAAATAACGACTTTATTTCAACTATTCATTTCCTTCTCTTTGGGCCTCACACGTAGTCACACGACGTCACACGTAGGCTCACTATTGGCCGACGCTGGTGTGACGTACAACAACAGATCGACCAGAGAGAAGGAAATTAATAGTTGAAATAAAGTCGGGTTTTTTTGTGCACAAAAAGTGTTCTCGTCGCTTGATAAAGTTAAGATTGAGCCACTTTAGTCACTTGGACTATTTTAACGATGTCTTTAATAACTTTTCGAGGCTGGCAAGTTTCAATCCCTCAAGAAGCCTATGGACTTGTATGGAGGAGTGATCCAGCTCTCAGATTTCATCAAAAATATCTTAATTCATCTTCCGAAGATGAACGAAGGTCTTACGGGGTTGGAACAACATGAGGATGAGTTTTTTTTGGGTGAACTATCCCTTTAAGCTCGTGGTTTTGCTAAGGCAAGCAACACTATTACTATTACTCAATTTTTGCACATATATAGATATTCAGTTATTCAAAAATGAGATGAGACTTGAATGTGTACTGTATTAAGAAACGAATAGTCTTTATGGTGACGTTAGATTGGCAGATTTTCATTTAATGGAGTCAATGTGGCAGGATTACCTGAATCCACGGATATCGATCGCCCTCGGCTGCGCTCCAGGCATTGACGAGGCCCTTCTTGTTGAGTCGGGCGAAGTACGGGAACCACTTCTGCAGGCCGAACAGAGCTCGATGTGTGGAGGAAGCTGTTACCTGCTGGTTCGAAATGATCCCCCCTTCCATTCCTAAAGGTCCAGAACATTCTGAGAGAATAGACAGAGAAAAGAGATGGTAAGAAAAATCGCATATAACATATTCTCATCTTAAAATATTCAGTTGTTTCCTTCTCATAGATATTTAACTGGATTTTGCTTAACCCTCTGGTGCTGTTCAGTCATATTCTGTTTTTTTTGTTGTTGTTGTTGTTGTTTTTTGTAGAATTTTTTACTTCATCGGAATGGTACCAAACTTGGTAAAGGTTTTGGCACTTGCTGTGTGAACACACAAAAATATCATGGACATGGTTAAATGGTCCTGAACAAAAGAGTCACACTTGTATTGTTGCGGTCAAAAGTGACCACATTGGAAATGAATGGGAGATGGATTGCATCTATTGGAAAAGTTTGGTACTACGCCCAAACAAAGTCTTACTGAAAGCTCATGTTTTAAGATATCAACCTCAAATTTGGAACACAGCTTTTTTACATTTATGGCTTTTCTCACAGTTTTGGAGTAAATGTGTTTTGGAAAATATATATTTCATTAAAAAAAAATTAAATGAGTATTTTTGTGCATTTTTTTTATAAAAATAAATGTAAAATTGTTTTTCACTTCAGCAATAATCTCTTTAAAAAGAGAAAAAACTTAAGTCTGTGCTCCAAAGCATTCAATATTGATGTCAGTTTAAAGTGGAAATTTCATTTTCATGTCTATGCTCAAAAACGGAACGAATGACTGTTCTTCTGACTGAATCAAATGCATACAGCACCAAAATTAGTATAGTTTGATTTAAGAACAGATGACTCTTATGAGTCAATTGTTTTTAGTTAATCAACAACAACATACCACTCGAACAGTGAAGTACGATTCCTGCAAAAATGACTCTTGTGAGCTGGTTCTTGTTAGTGAATCAGTCACGTACAGCTTAAAACTGTTTTATGTTAAGGTAAAGTTAAAGATACACAGGAGTTTTGTCAGTTAAAATAAATGAATGAAATATATTGTTCAGTGTATACGGCTATTTAGCTAAGACATGTTATTTTAGTATTATTGAGAGTATTATTTTACTATATAGTATTATTTAGTATTATTCTACTTTTTTAAAATAAATTGTTTTTTTAAAATTAAAGTTTTAGTATTTTGAGGTTATTTTTATGTCTTTATAGTATTTTTTATTACTTATTTCAGTTTTATTAATTTAAGTTGAAATATTTCCTTGGAAACTAGCTGAAATCAAATAAGCATAAGTTTTAAAAAAAATACACACACACACACACACACACACACATATATATATATATATATATATATATATATATATATATATTTAATGTTATTTCAGTTAAAGGAAATTTTATTTGAAGTAACGAAAATTGTTTTTTTATGTTTTTTGTTAACTATAATAAACCCTGACTAAGACCAATAATTAGAATGCATTTATGCGACCTCTGTTTAAAAATATATTTAAAAAGTCTGAAAACTTAACTTATGTGAGAATTTTAATCTAATTATTATCAAAATTATCTTATTTGGAAAAGTCTCTTGAAGTATTAATAGAAAATGTTATTTTTTCTTTACGAACAAATATAATAAGGGAAGATGAAGCAATTCAAAGAATACCACAAACGCAGAGTTCTTTGTTCTCAAATGCTAATATGATAATATCATTCTCGCAGGTTCCCGCCACAGGCTCCGTATCGGCCCCTGAAATGCCATCTTTCTCCGGTTTGTCCTCAAAAACATCTGTCAGCTCTGAACTTTTGGAGGCAACGTCCTTGGATTCATCGATGGATGTTGTGTCCTTGCTCTCACACACAGAGGTGTCTTCACTCTCGAAGCCTAAGATGTCCTCCCTTGGGTCATCGCTGTCATCGTTTCGTCCACCTGTGGAGATGTAGCTCGCTCGCTGGGACATTAACGGAGTACTTGAACCATCTCCACTTAATGATCTCGCCGACTGGGTGGATTCGAAAAGGAGCCGCAGGCTGTTCAGACTTGCCCGTAGGGAGCTTTGCCTGCTGTGCTTGGACAGCATGATCACAAACCAAACCGTATCGAGGGATCTAACTTTATATGTGCTCCTCTGAGAGCTGTTTAAGTAAGAGTGCATGACTGTAATCTTCAGCTAATTCTTTTATGCATTCATAGATGTGTTAAGCTACAGATGGGAATATCTTGTTTTGAGTTAGCACAAAAAATACCAACAAATAAGTCACGGTTATGTAAGCGTTGGTATTCTCTCGAGTCCTAGAGCGTACGGTGAGTTATGAGGCGTTTCTGGCATGCTCAGGCGCACAAACGTCTAGGAAAGTTGCCTGGACAAAAATAAGCAAAACAGAATCAGTTCCCCGCCCGAAGTCATTGAAATGACAGAATGATTTCGTGAGCAATGTGGTACCCTACTCTGTCAATGTCATATTGGCCTCATTCACTCAGATTCTCCTAAAAACCCTGTCGAAGGCAGATGGCTCTCATCCCCAAGTTGACAGACATAATCTAGTTTTAGTTTTCTCCTCGAGAGATGATGACGAATATTTATGCACATGGGTTTAATTAAATGAGGTGATGAAGTCGATTCTCGCTTACTGTACTGACAGTTCCGCCCCATGTATTCGCCAGGACATTGGCAGGTGTAGTTCGCTCGCAGGTCTGTGCAGCTGCCTCCATTTTTGCAAGGATTTTTTTCGCACTCGTTAACATCTGAAAAGACAAGCAGACATCCACGGACACATCAGGAAATTATCAAAAGCGTCAACTTGAAAAAAGATCCTAAATGTAAAATATAGTGTCACAATATATCGCAATACAATATGTATCGTGGATAGTGACGATGTGAATAGTTCACCCAAAATAAAAATTCAAGTTTTCAGAGTTTTAGAGTCAGTAGCCTACTACATCATGTTGAATATAATGTATTAAAATGCAACAGGGGATTATTTGATAATGCCAAATGTCTTATGTTACCAGTAGAAAGAGGCCTACATACTGTATATAGTCAGTTACAGAGTGCAAGCATCGGCTATTCATCTAAAATAATTCGGTAACATTTTACTTGAAGGGGTGTTCGTAAGACTGATATGACACCTTCATAACCATGACATGACATTAAGTGTCTTTCACTCAATAATGTTGTTTAAGATGTATTTGTTATGACATCTCGACATAAATCATAACATCATAAGCTGTCAGTGTCTTTGTCATGACAACTTGACATAACTTAAACTGTCATGTGATTGGCTTTGACATCGGCTGTCGTGAGGCCATTATAACTGTGTCATCATGAATATTTTTCGTGACCTCAACTACAGTGGTACTTAAAGTTTTAATGGCTTCATGACGGCCAATGTCAAAACCAACCACCTGACAGTTTAATGTAATGTTAACCAATAAAGCTAGGTGGTTTCTTAAGTTTGATAATTAATCTGCTATGTCATGTTTATGACAGGTTGTGTTGTCTTAGTAATGTCAAGTTGTCATAACAAAGATATCTCAAACAATGCCATATTTGCATTAAAAATGTCATAACTGAGCCAATGACACTTAATGACAGCTGTCACAAACATGCATAAAACTTCCTTCATATTCATAACATATGTCATGTCATGATTATGGTGTTATGTACACCCCTTTAAGTAAAGTGTTACCAATAATTCTGTATTTTCAGCCTCAGTATCATGAATATTTTTTATTCTGGTGTCACCATTGTCCTTAGCATTGGGTTTCTAGCACCAAGTCCAAGCTTATTCATTTACACACACACAATGTAAAACCAAATTTAATCAACAGTAAAAATTTTGTTAACCTTTTATCATATGTCTTGGAGTATCGCAATAATATCGTATCGTGAGTTCAGTATCGTGATATGTATCGAATCGTGACATGAGGGTATTATTACACCCCTAATCGTTTCTCATTAAGTGTTGATTTGCCACAGCGATGAAAAATTTCTCTCATCATACAGTACTGATTTACATCGAAAGTTAAACTTGCTAAGATAAACTAAATACAGATAGAAATATTATTGCTTAAATGTTGTCCACAGGAGACTTTGACACTGAAGTATCTACTTTTTCTCATTTCAAGCTTAAGCAATTTATAGGGAAATGTACACATAATATTGTGTTTGCCACCAATTCACTAAAACACAAAAGTTACGAATTGCCACGAAAGTTCGCTTGATGTTAATTTCATAAGCAGGCTTCGTGACAGACCCCTGGCAGAAAAGCTCATGTTGTCCCATCTTAGACTTTGATTTTTAAGCAGAACAAAAGGAACTCAAGAGACTCGTTACAAACAGCATGACGAGGGATCATCCGAGCAGAAATTCAGGGATCTGCAAGGTGGAGCAAAGATCTATTGTGTCAGGTATCTGACAGAGATAAAGCACACCTTTGGGTTTTCCACAGCAGAATATCTCTTGAGGGCAACAACAAAATCCACAGCTAAAACAGAGTCACTTCAACAACCTCAAGAACAAACGTGGGATTTAAGGATCTGATTTTAGATTGCTATGATGGTGTGGTGTCAAAGTAAAAAGAAAAGCTAAAGGAATAGGACTTTTAAAATCTCATTGCAATTTCAAAACTCACTGTTTACATTTTTTGAGGGAAATGTGAGTGGGTCTTGCTCATTACAATTCTAAATTGTTTTGGAAGGTTTCCAGCACTTTGTTGCAAAGGTTTTCAGAGTAGTTGCTATACGGTTGCTGTACTAGCCTAAAACTGGTCTCTAGATATGCCTCAATTCCCCTCTCAGTCTACAGGATTTTTTTTTTTTTTTGCTCATTTTATCAGAAAGTAGAGCACAGTGGTAGAAATAGTGACACAATTACACCACAGATGTAGTTCAGTTTAGTACTGAAAATTACAATCTTGTTACATTTATGTGCATTTTACAAGTACTGGTGCAAATACCACTAAACTGACTACCGCAAACTTAGTAAATCACCTTGCATGAATCATATAAATACTCTCCACCCATAAATTTTGCGTCTCAAAGGGAAACTCCTATCAATGCATATGCAATAAGGTCAGCCGCGAAAAATAATTGTCCATGCTTTTTCAAAACTAATTCTCATTGTGTGTCTTTAGTAAATCCTGACAGTAGTTTTTAATTTCAGAAGAGGGTTTGCGTTGGCTCAAGCTGTTAGTAAATCTGGCCCTTAGAATTTATATTTGCATTGTGAACATCAGAATATGTCACATTCACGAAACAGTTCAAAAGTGTAGGGTAGCAAGAAAGAAATGAGTCATACATGAATTCAGCAGGTACACATTAAACTGATCAAAAGCCAAAAGACAGTAGGCCTATAAAATGTTACAAAATGTACATTTCAAACAAATGCAGTTTCCCTTTCGTCCTGGGAACTCCAACGTGTCGTCGGGCAGTTCCCTGACAAATTGGGATCATGCTAGGGAGCCAACTGCCTTCAAGAGAATTAAAAACGAGCCAATGAAATTGGCATGCAAAATTTGCATTTCGCGAGCCGCCTACTAGCGCGGATATAAAAAGCGGAAGTAAACAATGCATGACGCTTTTTGCTTCGAAGCCTCACAGAGTGTTACCTGATGCTGTTCTGGATATTGAAGAGAGCCTTCTAGGAAGAAGACTCACCCATGCGTTTCTAGACGTGGTTGACTTCTCCCTCAGGATGATGGCCACAAACACTCTCTCTCGCGTCTGGGCTTAGCACAGGCTGAGGCAGCGTTTGTGGATGAATCATGTTCTCATTGTGGGAATATGACTCTGATGATGCTGCGTTCGAGGCTGAGAACCCTGAAACATAGGGGAGTCCCTTCAGATAATCCTCGATCTAGTTCATCTGCCGGTTTAGTTCGGCAGGCGGCTACTTCAGCGATTCCTGTTGGTGAGTGGATGAGGATCACCGTGAGGAGCGCTGCGACTGGTGAAAGATCTTGTCGGGCGCCTCACGCCTCTCGTAGCGCGTTGCCATCGGTGCTTCCAGTGGAGCGGTCTATCGTGATGCACCTGTGTCAGAAGATTGCTTCCACTTGGCGGGGTGCCCCTTCACGCCCCTCCCTGTAGGTGCCGGTAGGTTTTCCTCTATGCTAACCAGGGATGCCTGCAAGGAAGGTGGAGATGCCGTCTCCACCCTGCATGCCATGGCGCTGTTGCAATTACATCAGGCAAAGGTGCTCCATGACTTGCAGGTGGGTGGTCCTGACCCAGCCCTTCTGCAGGAGCTGCGTGTGGGAACGGACTTCGTCCTCCGGGTGACGAAAGTCACCGCACGTTCGCTGGGTCGGGCGATGTCCAACTTGGTGGTCCAGGAGCGCCACCTCTGGATATGCGGGAAGCGGAGAAGAACAAACTTCTCAACTTCCCCGTATCCCAGGGGGGCCTCTTCTGGGACGCGGTGGAGAACTTAGCCCAGGAGTTCTCCGCCGCCCAGAAGCAGTCGGAGGCAATACGGCACGTCCTGCACAGGAGGCTGGCTGCTGCGAGCCCGTCTTCTGTTGCTGTAGAACCTCCGGCTGCTCCCCCTCGCCAAGGTCATCCTCTGGCGCCAGCTCCCCCACCTCCTTTCTCAGAAATGGGGCACTCTATGGCACCCGCGTCCAGACCTCTGGAAACTCCCCTGGACGGGACGCGGAGGTTCTAGGTGATCTTCCACAGGCTCTGGTAAACACCATCACTTCTGCTAGAGCCCCCTCTACGAGGCGCCTCTATGCGTTGAAGTGGATCCTATTCATCAAGTGGTGTTCCTCTCGCCAGGAGGACGCCCGAACTTGCCCGATCAGAGTCGTGCTTTCCTTCCGACAAGATGGGTTGGAGCGAAGGAAGTCTCCCTCCACCCTCAAAGTCTTTTTTGCCGCAATAGCCGCACATCACGTTGTAGTAGAAGGTAAGTCCGTGGGGACGCACGACCTGATCATCAGATTCCTAAAGGGTGCTAGGAGGTTAAATCCACCTCGTGTTTTGCACTCTGTATCCTCTTGGCACCTAGCTCTGGTACTTAGAGCTCTCCAAAATCCTCCCTTTGAGCCTTTGTTGACAGTGGAGCTGAATATCCTGTCCATTAAGACAGCGCTCCTGTTGGATTTGGCCTCTTTTAAGAGGGTCGGGGATCTACAGGCTTTTTCAGACGACAAATCGTGCCTGAATTTGTGCCCAAGATTCCTACAACTCCCTTCGTGGATCAGGTAGTGAACCTGCAAGCGCTGCCCCAGGAGGAGGCAGACCCAGCCCTGGCTTTTCTCTGTCCCGTCCGCGCCCTGCGGGTTTACATTGACAGAATGCAAAGCTTCAGGACCTCAGATCAGCTCTTTGTCTGTTACAGAGGCCAGCAGAAGGAGAAGGCCGTCTCCAAGCAGAGGTTAGCTCACTGGTTAGTGGATGCTATCACCAGAGAGTATTGGGACTGCCTCAGGGACTGCCATATGTTTCACTATGCCCCTGGGCTAGTACATATGTGTATTCCAGGCATTCCGCCCTTCATCATGGCTTCCGCAGTGTTCCCTTCCTCGTGACGGGTTAGGGCACGCTTTTCCAGTGTTATCCAATGTCCACTGAATGGGTCTTGCGAAACAGCAGTATGACTCCCTAGCTAGCTTCCGTTATTTCTGAAACTACATGGGTAGCGTCGCTGGGCGCTGGAAGGGGCCAGCACCATGGCGTTTTATTAGGGATCCCAATTCGTCAGGGAACTCCCCGACGACACGTTGGAGTTCCCAGGACGA